ATTTACTTGCATTTATCAAAGAAAACTTGAGGTAAGCACTTTAATACTATTTTATGTATCTTTCCCATTAAGACGAATTCTCTAATTCTTTTTCAATTTTAACTCAATGGGGAATATAAGAGCTCGCAGTGTGTACTGCAGTTAAAAAAAAAAAATCAACCTAAATCTGTACTGTGTTTGGCAGGGCCATGGCCGACCTAAATTAGAATCAAGGGCATTTCTCACTTATATCTGATTTTTAAAAAAAGATTTTATTTCTTTATCTTTACAGAAAAGGAAAGGGAGGGAGCGAGAGAGAGGGAGATGTGGTTGCCTCTCAGATGCCCCCACTGGGGACCTGGCCCACAACCCAGGCACATGCCCTGACTGGAATAGAACCAGTGACCCTTTGGTTCACAGGCCAGCACTCAATCCACAGAGCCACACCAGCCAGGGATCATTTATGACTTAGAGAATAGCTTTTGTAAAGGAAAATTGTTACAGTTCTAAAATATTTTCCCATTTATTCTGTACTTGTCTTTTTCTTCCTTTTCTGTAAAATACTTTTCCCTTTCCTTCCTAGGTAGATGATTTTCCCAAAATAAATGTAATATATTTGCTTCCACTATACTCTTATTCTAGATAAATTCTTCAATCCCAGCTTATTTTCATGGATAATTAGGATGTAATAAGAGTATTATGTTGGCCATCGTCTTATGAGACCATATTCTCTAGCAATGTTTTTTTAAAAATATTTTATTTACTTAATTTTAGAGAGGGGAAGAGAGAGGAAGAGAGCAAGAGAAAAACATCAATGTGTGGCTGCCTTTCACACATTCCCCACTGTGGACCTGGCCCACAACCTAGGCATGTGCCCTGACTGGGAATAGAACCAGTGACCCCTTGGTTTTCAGCCTGGCACTCAATCCACTGAGCCACACCAGCCAGGGCTCTCTAGCAATGTTATCTAAAACAGCATAAAGTGTATTGCCTGACACCGTTTAAGACTAGTCTGCCAAAATGGACTGATTGACACTGCAACACTGCAACGTTCTGTCCTGACGTATAATTCAAGAAGCAATAGTTATCCTTGATGTTACTAATGGTCCCCCTCTCTGGGTATGTTTTGGGCATTTCTTTTAGGTATACCAGTAAGAGGAGAGCAAGGTATTCCTGGTCCACCGGGCCCCACTGGACCTCGAGGGCACCCAGGTCCCTCTGGACCACCAGGAAAGCCAGGCTATGGAAGTCCTGGACTCCAAGGAGAGCCAGGGTTGCCAGGACCACCGGGACCATCAGGCACCGGGAAGCCAGGCATGCCAGGACTACCAGGAAAACAAGGGGAGAGAGGACCATACGGACCGAAAGGAGATATTGGACCAGCTGGTTTACCAGGACCACGGGGCCCACCAGGACCACCCGGAATTCCTGGCCCAGCCGGAATTTCTGTTTCAGGAAAACCTGGACAACAGGGACCCCCAGGAGCCCCTGGACCCAGAGGCATTCCCGGAGAAAAGGGTGCACCAGGAGTCCCTGGTGTGAATGGACAGAAAGGGGAAACTGGATATGGTACTCCTGGCCGCCCAGGTGAGAGAGGCCTTCCGGGTCCTCAGGGTCCCATGGGACCACCTGGCCCTCCTGGAGTGGGAAAAAGAGGTGAAAATGGGTTTCCGGGACAGCCAGGTATCAAAGGTGATCGGGGCTTTCCAGGGGAAAGGGGACCAGCTGGCCCACCAGGCCCACAAGGTCCTCCTGGGGAACGAGGGCCAGAAGGCATTGGAAAGCCAGGAGCCAGTGGAGCCCCAGGCCAGCCAGGGGTTCCAGGAACCAAAGGTCACCCTGGGGCTCCAGGAGTAGCTGGGCCCCCAGGGCCTCCTGGCTTTGGGAAACCAGGCTTGCCAGGCCTGAAGGGACAAAGAGGACCTGCTGGCCTTCCAGGGGCTCCAGGTGCCAAAGGGGAGCAAGGTCCAGCAGGCCGTCCTGGGGAGCCAGGTCTGGCTGGACCCCCTGGAAATATGGGGCCCCAAGGACCAAAAGGCTTCCCAGGCAACCATGGGGTCCCAGGCCCTAAAGGTGAGACAGGGCCAGTCGGGCCTGCAGGACACCCTGGGGCTAAGGGAGAAAGGGGTTCCTCTGGTTTAGATGGAAAACCAGGGTACCCGGGAGAACCAGGTCTCAGTGGTCCTAAGGGTAACCCAGGCTTACCAGGCCCAAAAGGTGACCCTGGAGTGCAAGGACCTCCTGGTCTCCCAGGCCCCGCGGGCCCAGGAGGAGTTAAGGGAGTGCCTGGACACAACGGCGAGGCGGGTCCAAGAGGTGCTCCTGGAGTACCAGGTGCCAGAGGCCCCACTGGGCCACCAGGCATTCCAGGATTCCCTGGACCTAAGGGGGATCCAGGAACCCCAGGTCTTCCGGGCCCCGCTGGCATAGCAACTAAGGGCCTCAATGGTCCCAGTGGGCCACCAGGGCCTCCAGGTCCAAGAGGTCACGCTGGAGAGCCTGGCCTTCCAGGGCCCCCAGGCCCCCCAGGCCCCCCAGGCCAAGCAGTCCTTCCCGAGGGCTCTATAAAGGCAGGCCAAAGGCCTCTGGTTAGTGCCAGCCAGGGTGTGACGGGAATGCCCGTGTCTGCTTTCACCGTTATTCTCTCTAAAGCTTACCCGGCTATAGGAGCACCCATCCCATTTGATAAGATTCTGTATAACAGGCAACAGCATTATGACCCAAGAACTGGAATCTTTACCTGCAGGATACCCGGAATATACTATTTCTCCTACCACGTGCATGTCAAAGGGACCCATGTGTGGGTAGGTCTGTATAAGAATGGCACCCCTGTAATGTACACGTATGATGAATATGCCAAGGGCTACCTGGACCAGGCTTCGGGCAGTGCCGTAGTCGACCTCACGGAAAACGACCAGGTGTGGCTCCAACTGCCCAACGCCGAGTCCAACGGCCTGTACTCCTCTGAGTACGTCCACTCCTCCTTCTCAGGATTCTTAGTGGCTCCGATGTGAGCATGTTCCCACCAAGCTAATACAAATCTGCTTGAAAAGGCAACCCTCGACTTCGCCCCGCCCCACCAAATGCACATGGAGGTAGGCTGAAAACGATATCGTTCATTTTAATCTTGTAAAATACAGATTGGAGCTTTCAGACCAACCAATTTTCCCTCTGAAAAAGCGAGCGGCAATGGTATAAAATATGTGAAGACCCTCTCGAATTCCTAATCAGCAATCCTAAGACTCTTTAAGGTTTTCTGTGAAGTCCATTAGTACTTAAACATGTCACCATAAAAGCCCTACTAAGCTTAAATATAAAATGATCACAAAAAAACCTCTGATCAGTGATGCTGTTATGTTAAATCTGATTTCAGAATCTCAGCATTTGCCAGTTTCTAACAGTGATCAGAACTAGGAAACATTAAGGAGGTATCCTATCTGTATAAAACTTAAGTACTTGAATATTCAAATGTAAAAGACATAGTATACCATAGGATTTTTCGGATGGTGCATTGCTCAAGGCTTACATGGCCACATGTGTCAATATCTATTCAAATATAGAGGTGCATACAGACTTTTTATGACTCTCATAAAAAATAAAAAATATTATGTTAAAATTAACCTGAAATGCAACCAAGGTGCTTTAGTCGTGAACCTTTCCAAACTTTTCTGTGACTGCAGAAAAACTGTCTATTACCCTTCACAACTTGGGAGCAGGTGCTGCACCAACTGTGTTTATTTAACACAAGTGTGATTAATCTGATTTAATTCCCTTGAATTTTATGTCATATGACTTTGTGGGTTTACAGTGTGTACCTGTGCCTCCGGTTCCAGTGAAATAATAACTAATGTCAAGGGTTTCAAAAATTGCCTAGAACTGAAGAGATTATTTATTTATGCTCTGTACTGTATTTTTATATTGCTGTTTAAAACTTATAAGCTGTGCCTCACTTATTAAAGCACGAAATGTTTTTCCTACTTATTTTCAATGCAATAAAATAACATCAACTGATTTTAGGTGAAATTTATTTGACAGTAGCAATTTACAATTCTCCACCATTCTTTTAAGGCTTTTCATTTTACAAAGCTCATAGGAGATAAAGCAATAATGTGGTGGGTGGGGGTGGCTTTGCAGTTGCCATGGATACAGGTGCCTCTCCATTGGAGATGGGCATTCCCACACACCCAGGGGACCCCGGGAACCACATGTGACCTACGAGCGGGGGTGCAGGGCTGGTGGCTGGGAGAGAAAATCACTGCACCCCCACAGCAGTGATTTCTTCTAGGAAGGAAAGAAGCAGATGAGGATGTTATTTGACCAAATATTCTTCAGTGGCTATTTGTTCCCTTCTTATATTTTTAGTCATAATATTTATGACTATTTTGATGGTTTAAATTACTTTAAAAGGAAGGCAAGCAATTTTTAAGTCAGTCAAAAAGCAAGATTTTTCTAAGCTGAGATACTGCTCGTGAGCATCCATCAGCCCGCTGGCTGAATCAGGACAGTCTGGCTGAAGTCACTGGGGTAACGTACTACAAAGGCACCTCTCTGCCCCTTAGGAGTAATCTGTGTCACCCAAGCGAACCTGTGACTAGAACCATGACACCGTAGGCTCGGGTTGGTGATATCTCTGCTCCTGTTCTGGGTCAGCCAGTCCTGTGTTTTAAGTAAGAAGAATGGAATTTCCATTTTTTTCCAACCATCTGTAATTACACTAATGGTTACAGGTGTGCCTGACCCCAATTCCCGAGCCAGGAAACAGTGAAAGCAGAACTGCAGTTCTGGGGAACAGACAAAATGACCCCATTCGAAAGACAGCACAGCTCAGCACACCCGCAGTTATGGGCATGAAACCGACATACGCAAAAGAATCTCTTAAAATGTAAATGGTACCCACTTTATAGTGATATTTAGGATGAAATTAAGTCCCAAATGAAGTAGATATATAGGTAACAACTATGTAATTTACTAAACACACAACATTTAACAGACATCTGTGAGAAAATCTTTCCATTACTTACCCTTAAAAGCTGACATCTTATAATTGTGTTGTATACCAGCCACTATATCCTTCCAAAAATCAAATGTTTTCTGACCATTGTGCTGCTAAAAAATAAAATAAATTTCCAACTATAACACATACAATAATTCTTTTTTAAAGCATAATAGAAGTACTTGGCAAATAATTACAATATTATTGTATTCTGCAATAGGGTCTCATCATGTTTTAGAAATCATAATGGGTTAATAAAATTCTCATTTTTTTAAACATGATTTTTAAGAAGAAATCACTTCCATGAAAATCACTGCTACAAAGATAATATACATGTACACACATGACTAATTATTAATGTAGCTCATATAACTCAAATAAAATAAAACACTCCATTCATTAGAAAGTATAAAAATTACAGAACATTTCAAACACCTGAATAAGTTTACAATGTTATAGCCTCTGACATAAATCAGAATGTGTTACTTTGTATTCTATGGTATCAACACAGCCAAGAGGCCTGCAACCTTCCAAGTCTGAAAAGCTTGTTACTTTAGAACGCAGGACACACTTACCTGAATTTTGGTATAAAAGAGTAGCAAGTCTCTAGAGGAGGCATGAAGCATGTTCCAAATCCAAAATGTAAACCATTTTTACTGAGTTTTTTTTAAAAACCAGAAAGCAAATGAGCATTCTATTAAAACACACAACCCTACAGCCCTTTGCTTCCTTGGGAATATTAAGCAGTATTTCCATCTAAACAAAAACTAACTACTAGTTGTTGTTACCTATTACAAAAATTCTGAAATATGTAAGGACTGATAAATTTGCTAGTAGTCACTATAAAATGAGAAACTGACTTTATCTCATGTCAATAATAATTTCTACAAACATACCAGAACTATCGCTCCCCCGAAATTTTAATAAATACAGGACTATAATTCTGAGTAGAAAAAAAACATTACCTATGTTTTATTATAAACATGATCATTGTGATTTTAAAAGATAACATGTAAAAAGGGATTCTGACGTAAAACCAGCTATGTTCATAGGTCTTAAACTCCGCATGACTAGAAATCTAATTTTGATACACAGTACAATAAAATACACATGCATTAAATTATACTCAAAATGATGGATTTAAAAATTTCATCTCATTTTTTGGTTTTACATTACTTAGAATGCTTAAACTCATGTAGACTTTCTTAATTATTACTTTTTTATTCTATTCACAAAGCAAATATTTTTAGCAGATGCAAGGGGTTTTTGCTTTAAAAAGTATGCATTTATTGAACTGACATCAATAATTTTGCATATTTTCTCTTTGTAGTTTTTTCAGTGACAATTCTACAAGTTGAAAGCACTTCTATTCCTTTGCTTTATTTGAAAGCAGTGAGCTTCTATTTTATAACTGGACTACATTTTCTGAAGAGGCAAATAGAGGTTTAGGCACATTGTTTCTGACCCAACCTTCAAAACATGGAATTTTAAATGGGTGTATGTATTTGAGGCACAGAAAACAGAGGCAGGGACCAGGCACGACGTTTTTTTTTTTTTTTTTGCTGGGACATGGGACCAATTAGTGGAAAATGCAGAATTAAAGCCACATTGAAGACTTGAAGATAAAGATGTTAATGTAGGAATGTTCAAACATGAAGATAATGTTGATGAGAAAATTTTATAATTTGAGTGAAACTGGTGACAGATGCAGGGGAACAAGATCGAAAAAGCCCTGCAGAATACGGCTTTGCAGCTTCGTTATGCATCTGAAATTATGGAGGAAAGAAGGAAGACTACCTGGGGTGGGAGAAAGCAAGACAGGGATCAGATTGCAGGAGAGTTCACAGGATTATGGGCTCTCTCGAGGGTGGTTGTAGTTTACTTCAAAGGCACAGAAACAAATAGCAGGGCTTGCTTAAGGCAAAGATAAATCTACTAAAGACTTGTGCCTGTGGCCTGTTGACCAACCACAACCTGCGTAATTAAGAATTTACACAGATGCCAAGGTCTGTATTTTTCTCTAGACTTTTGCACCCCCTGCTGGAAAAGAGGTGTATTATCCTTGAGGGAAAAAGTGGTCACTGCTTATTTAATTTTCCAAAACATTTTGGCCAAATTCTGTTTTCCTTCCTCAGTCACTTCTGAGATCACAAAGAAGAAACCGAGGAAAACCTCCATTCAAAAGACACGTATAATTAAGAGCTCTGATTTATGACTAAGTATGTATATCACAGCTTTCTAAAAAAATTAAAGTTTTCACCTTTGTTAAGAAATCCACCACCTTGGCACACAGAAGGGCTCCTGGCAGGTCAAAGTAGTTATCATAAATATAGTATTTTCCTAAAAAAAAAAGAACAAAAATTTAAACTGGGAACAAATTAATGCCACATTTATGGGGCATACACAGAAATCTAGCTGAAGAAACACAAGATCTTGGTGCAGTAAATTTAAAGGAGCCTCCATTTCAGTTCAGAATGGCTCCATTAACAGGCTATCATCTCTCAAAGGTTTAAGCTATGAGGGTGCTTCAAGAAAGTTAGAATTTGATATGCATAAATTAAGCATTTTATCAAAAAATATTTAAGTTATATTTTTAGACCCGAAAGGGACTATATCCCAAATATAAAATGGATTAGGAAGAAGCCACAGTTTATGTTATTAATGTCACTGAATTTCAAAAGAAACAACCCAAAAGTGGAGTTCCATGAAGCACTGCCCACCACAGGCCTCTGTTATCTCACTGCCTGACCCCTGGGCACTGCAATGGAAGCAGTTCCCTGACCGGCCCAGTTAAGAGTAGATAACCTTCAAGGCCAATCTCAGATGATCCTGGATAAATTCAGCACCAGCAGGGAGCTGCTGATGTTTATTGGAGAAGGGGTGGAGTAGTTGGAAACAGCTGGGTCAGACTGGGTGAATGTTCTTTTCCTAGCTGGGGAATACTTTGTTCTCTAAAACGCTCCTTGTTTCTGAATGGATATCAGAAATGTAGCTGGGTGCCTAGCTTTTCTGAGTTATTTACAACCACCTACTTCTAGAGAGACAACAGCTCTCTATCCTCACTGAGTGAAAGGCTGTCCACACATTTAACTTCTGCTGGTTATTTTAAGTTGGGATGTGCGAAAGCATTCTAAATCTAACCCCAATGGGAAGTCTAGTATTTCCTATCAACTTACTTTATCAAGAGTGCTCATACTTCCTGACATTTTCATCTCTCTACAAAAACAAAACTCTCAGAAGACAGCAAATGTAACAAACAAAGGAAACACAATCATGGCAAGGAGGAACTCCAACTATTTCCAGGTCATTACATTCTCTAAAGCAGAACAGATACTTTTCAAAACCATGTAGTGTATGGGAAAATGGCAAGAAAAATTAGAACCCCCCCGATAATTATAACTTTTAATAAGGTTCATTTATAACAATATATTTCAATTGTTCCTTGTTACTCTATGCACATCCATGTCTGTATATAATTTTTGAAAACTATTTTCATGTGTACCCATGGGGAAGCTCTTTAAAGACTAAAAAAAAATGTGTAAAGTCATTCAAATAAAGAAAAAGAAAGCTGAAGGGAAAAGATACTAAAACTGGCAGTACAGACGGGAATTCCAGGAAATAGGAGCAGTAGGTGATAACAGTATAAGGAGAAATTAAATGAGGATTGAGCCTGTAACTGATAAAAATGCAAATGACCAAGGAAGGTCTTATTCCTAAATGCTAGTCTTTTCCTCCCAGAAGGAGTATCAAGAAAACCTTAATTAAAAAGAACCAAATGCCGAAGAGAAATCAGACACACGTGGAAGAAAAATATACCCTATTCTAATAAACCCGGCAGGATGCAAGAGGGGCCTTCTTCACGTCCTCATGCAGCAGGTCCCGAGTCCAGGACAGAAGGGGAGGGGACGGCAGTGCTACTGCGTGGGCCATACCTGAGCGGCACGCCATCCCGGCGTCGGACATGAAGTACCTCCACTCCTTCCTGCCATACTCCCTGGCCAGCTCCTCGGGGGCCATCATCCTTGTGCCGTGGCTTGCCCTGGTTTTGGGAGACGAGGCACACTGCTCAGCAATGGCGCCCTTGAACCCCGCTTCCTCCAGCCTTGCTATTGTTGATCCCCCCTAAAATTAACAAAAGTTTTCTTTGTTTCTGTTTTCAATGGGATGCCTTTGCCATTTAGGAATCTATACAGCGTTTTCCTTGACAGCTCTAGCTCTTCCTCCATTTCATCCACCACCTCGCAAGTGATCAGGAGGAGCAGCTCACTCGGAGGTCCACATTGTGGTCACTGTGCTGGACCTCTATGGTAGAAACGATAAACTATCATCTCTCTGGAAGGAGCATGACAGCACCCTTTCCTCAGAAGCTGTAGTGTAACTATGAAGATTAACCTAACTGGAAGAATTAAAAATCCACTGTGTGCACTGGGTCTGGGAGCAGGAGAGCAAGAGCGGGAGGTAGCAGAGTTAGCGTGTGAGCGGTGCCAGATCTGCAGGAGAGGTGGGAGGCCCCTGGGGGTGGCCAGCTCATGGGCACAGGAGACTGTGAAGATGGGCAAGCAACCTGCCCGTTCAATAACATGCTGTGGCTAGAAACACAAAGGATGACAGCGAGATGAATGTGACAAAACTCAGAATAGCAAGAGAGGGTGTAGCTACTTTCTGCACTCACAATATTGTTCTTGCATCAGTTGGTCCTGATTAAGGACTCTTAGCCAATAGAGAAACAGCTGGTGTTTTATGTAGTTTATGAGACATGATCATGCTAGCCAGCACCATCATTTTTCCTGTGGTGCTACATTGTCATAGCAAAGCAAATGAAAGAAAAAAAGAAATGAAATTAAAAAGGGCAAATGGAGGAAAATCGCAAACATTCTCCTTTTCATGAGGAGGTTAATGCCTTAGAAAGTGATATGGAGAGATGGAGGGACTCTGAGTGGGAGATATGATCAGATGAGGAAGCTAGTGTATTTGATGAAAGCAGGCATCAAGGAGATAATATAAGCTAATAAATTCAGGAGAAACTGCACGTTAGCTAGGGCTTGAATGGAGAGGGTCAGACCTTGCAGGAGGAGTGTTGGGAGAAGGGGAGACAGACATAACAATGAAAGAAAGAAGCACAACTGCGGAATGCTTTCCATCCTTTAACCCAGGATTTAAGATAGATAAGTGCCTTGTAATACGACAGCAGAGTTAAAGGTCACGGTCAAAGCTGCACTATGTGTGTAGGAGTATATATATTTATGCATACATACACTCTCCCTCTTTTTGCCCAGGGAAAAACATGCAAGTGAATACCACACCAACAGCTGTAGCTAGCTACATCTTAGGGGAAGCTCTGGGGGAGAGCATGAGTTTATACTGTGCCAAAAGGAATGATGTATCAAAGGGGAGAGTGTGTGTTAGAAGGAACCTGCTCTGATCCTCCTCTCCTTGCGCAATTAGTATAAATAATAAATCGCACAGCTGTGTGGCCATGTTTACTTGCCTGTACTATCAGTTCTGGGGGGAAAAATAGATGCTCACTCTGTGAGGCTCTCTGTAAGACTGAGAGCAGCGGCAGCAGCTGCTTCTCCATTGCTTGCCCTACTTTTACCAACCCTCAAAGGGCTGGACTCACCCTGAGAGGAGGGAAGGAAAGAGAGTCAGCACTGAGTTCAAGAGAGACTGAAGACGACTTGAAGAGTCTAAAAAAACTTCCAGAAGGAGACGGGACACAACATGAATCCTGCACGATGGGGGCAAGTTTGCATAAATGGAGAGAGGTGTGCATGGACCACCAACTTCCAAGCCAGCATCCATTCTCTCCTTCTGCCTTAACAAAAAGCATTCTGATTTTACCCCAGGTAGCTGCACACCCACCTAACACAATGCTATTCCAAGGCTCTTTTGCAGTAGAGGTGGCCAACGGCAGGAAACAAATTATTAACATTCTATTGTATTTCCTGCAAATAGTTCTGACGTGCTAAATTTAAAGAAACTAGATGTTTAAGCCTAATGCTTAAGATTTGTATTTAAATGTCCAAAGGATTCAAAGACTTGCAGGCACACAGAGAGTCTGTCATCTGATAGACTGAAATAATAATCTTATTTAACCATGCCTTAACAATGAACTGCTGTAAAGTAATGAAGTGTCTTGAAAAGAGTGAAATTTTGACTTTACAACTAAATTTTATTACCTGAGAACGGTGCCATTATCTGCAAGTTTAATGAAGTTCCCCTCTTCCAGATCCAGTGCCAAGCCCTTGCAACTAAAATAGAAATGGGTGGTTACCAATCAATTCATATATTTACCTAAATCAAGAAATAACCTATATCTTCCAACAGTCGCAATGGGAAAAGGGCAGTTTCCCACTCAGGCGAGTGATATGTTAATCAATCAGTTAAGAATATCCAAGAACAGGAGGGCAGGATTGAGGGTGGGAGGTAAGGCGGGGTGGGGGTGGTGGGGGGTGGGAAAATGGAGACAACTACATTCGAACAACAGTAGAAAAGGATTGGGAAAAAAAATCTAAGACCTCTAAAATTAAATATCACCTGGAGCAAGTACACAAAGAAAACTGTTATGTGAGCAAAGGAAGAACAGCATGTTTCTTTTCTAAAATCCTTAAGCTTTTACGAAGAGATATAAAAAACTCAGAGACCAAAACGAACATCATTTCATGTCTCTGTTAAGAGGTGAAAATGTTTTCCCTTGACTAACGCACACTTATATTCTGCAAGTTAAGATGTTAGCCAGTTTTTTCTTACTCATTAAAATTTGCCTCAGTTTAGGCCAGGTTATAAAACTAGCCCTCTGGGTAAGGAACATTATTGAAAACAACTAAAAGAAAGGCAAATATATGAAGTTTTAGGTTCTTCACTCTAAAAGACCTGTGGGATGTGGGGAGAAAAATGGATGCAGATTCATTATTATAAATAAGAAAAGCAAGGAGGTATGATGGCCACCAAATACCAAGAGAATTAAACAAAAATGACAAGGTACTTTAGGAACATTATTTACTTTGGTCCACAGTAAAACTTCCAGAGTCAGCAGTTTCCCGTAGTAAAATGTTTCTTCATTTCACAAAAGGGATAAACCAAAAGGCATTCACCAAACACTGAAGGAATGCATAACAGATGAATATTGTTGCTCTAGAATTATTTCTGCACGTATTTTTCAAGTGATTTAGTATTACTATTAATTTTCTTTCTTTTTTTAAAAATAATTTTTAGTTATTTTTCTTTTTTTAAAATTTTTATTTTATTTAGTTATTTTTCAAGTACAGTTTTTTGTCTATTTCTCCCATCCCAGCCCCCCCGCCCCGTGCTCCCCACCTCCCTCCCATTTCCACCCCCTTTAGTTCTCATCCCTGTGTCCTTCATATTTGTTCCTCCAAATTCCTCCCCCTTTTCCCCATTAAATTCCCTTCCCTCTCCCCTCTGGTCACTGTCCCCTCGTTCTCTATTTCAGTGTCTTTGTTTTTATTCTGCTTGCTTGTTTGTTTTGTTGTTTAGCTTCCTGTTAAAGAACCTATGCACCACAATGTTCATAGTAGCACAATTTACAATAGCCAAGAGTTGGAAACAACCTAGGTGCCCGTCAGTAAATTAATGGATCAAAAAATTGTGGTACATATACACAATGGAATTCTATGCTGCAGAGAGAAAGAAGGAGCTACTACCCTTTGCAACAGCATGAATGGAACCGGAAAGCATTATGCTGAGTGAAATAGGCCAGGTGTTGAAAGACAAATACCGTATGATCTCACCTTTAACAGGAAGCTGTACTATTAATTTTCAACTGAACAATTTACGGTAGCTTAACAGAATTTTGTTTGGTTTTGTTATTTAAATGAAGAAGAAAGACAAAGGGAGCCGTGGGAAGTTGAGAATCCTAACCCTGAAGGAAATGCTAGGAAGAGCCTTAGACACAGGAAAGTCTATCCAAATGACAAAGACCCAAAGGTCCGAATTCAGATACTCATTCAAAACATGATGACTTCTGTATTTGAAGGGCAATAAAACAAAACTTTTCAAAAGATGGAAATTTTAGAGAGTTCTTATAACCTCGGAGACTCTTAATAACAACAGACTCAAGCAGGTGTCCAAGGTGGTCACATATCCTCTGAGTTTGTTGTCGTGTTTAATTAACGAAGTCTAAACGTACAGAGGCTTTTTTGTTTTAAACTTTCATTCAAAGTTATTAATTGATTTTTGAGAGAGGAAGGGGGCAGACTGGGGAAGGAGAGGGATGGGGAAAGCAGGGGAGGGAGAGAGAGAGAGAGATCAATGTGAGAGAGAGACATGGATCCATCAGCTGCCTCTGGCGCGTGCCCCACCAGAGGGTCAAACCCACAACCTCTGGCCACAGGATGACGCTCCACCCGAGCCACCAGGCCAGAGCTCAAAAGGACTTTAAATCATTAAACATAAAACTTTTCATAGAGAAGGCATTTTTGTCCTTTGACTCAATTTCACTTTCTGCCTTTGCAGAAGAGAAAGCATTAAAATTTTACCAGCAACAATTAAAAATCAAAAGGAAAATACAGACTTTAAAAAACAAGAACCTACCAGAAATCCCAGTCCTCCGGAGTCACAGTGAGCAACTCTTTGTCATATCCTTTCTCTTTGACCAGGAACTCTGCAAAGCTATTATAAATGAGCTGTAGTAGATACGAGGAAAGGGAAATGAGAGGTTAGATATAAAACTCACTATTCATACTTAATTGCACAGACATGAAGACCTGATGGAACCAGTCATGGGGCAGGTGGGGGAGGCAAGACCTGCAATAATACAGCTTTTCAGTTCAATCCCCTTCACAAACGATTTAACCACCTCTGCAAGCCGAGCCCCAGGTACCTGTAGTGCTTTTTTAATTCTCCCAAATTATGCTATCATCAGTCTACAATTTTACAACCAAGGGTAATTATTCATCTTACTCCTGAATTCTAATGGTCTGGAGATCATTAAGACGTGGTAAAGCTTTGTAAACTTATTTAACACATGACCAAGATGATAAACCTACTGACTGCTTTAACATTACATCTATCCTTGATCTGTCCTTGGTAGAAAGTTCCCACCTCAGGTGGTAAGTTCATTCAGACATCGGGCCCCACAGAATGGAGGCCGCCCTTGGGCCCAGCCCAGGCCACAAATGTGAGGCCAAATCAGCTTCAGGAGAACATCTGTCAAGGAACCTACCATTACCACTCACAATCCTCCAACTCAGGTTTAGCTCACCTTTCCCTGGGGTTGGAAGGAACTGCCAGCCTTCTGAGAAATCCCTGACCTCCTAGCCAATCACGTTCTCTTTCAGCGTTGCCTCTTCTAATGCTCTATAAAACTCACTCTTGTCCTGGCTGGTGTAGCTCAGTGGATTGAGCGCGGGCCTTTGAACCAGAGTATCATGGTTCGATTCCCAGTCAGGGCACATGCCTGGGTTGCAGGCCAGTTCCCAGCAGGGGACACACAAGAGGCAACCATACATGGACACTTCTCTCCCTATCTTCTTCCCTTCCCCTCTAAAGATAAATAAATAAAATCTTAAAAAAAAAACTCACTCTTGCCCAAGTCCTCTGGGGGAGTGGTCCACTGCTGCTTAGACACTGCAATCCATGGATTATTTCCCCTTGAATATAGGGCATCAGACTGGTTACTTGTTTCAGTTTTGTCATTGCCACAAAGGAGTCTTAAAGAGAAATATACATGGGCACCAGGCAGGTGATCCAAAGGAGGAGCCATGCGGCCTCCATCAGATACAGAAAATATCTCTTATTTTTCCACCTCAAGAAAAACTGAGGAAAAAGGACAATGGAAGGGAAGCAAGCACAAAGATTAATGCTTTGCTGATTTGCTGACAGATCTGATTTCTCAACAACAAAATCCCAGCTTTTTGAGTGAAGTATCTGTTTTGTTTCGTTTGTAAAGAGCTGGCTCAATGTTTAAATAACTGTGCATGCCGAACAAAAAGCAGGCGAAAGGGAGATGACCGTCTACATCTGCTCCACCCCATTCTCCCTGAGAGAGTGTTCTTAGGCCTGTATTGCATGCACTTGAACCTGAGGCAGAACCGTGGTCTTGGGTCAGACTTAGCAGTGTCTGAGAGGGCACGCTGAGCAACCTGACCCTTCTAAACCCAGACAAGAAAGTGTGGGATGGCACAAGGGGGAAGCAGGTATAGACACAGCCAAAGGAGTGGGAGAAGGCGTCCCTGAGGTGGTGCTGTTCACACTGACACCTGCAAGAGCAGCAATTGGCTGGGTGAGTTCAAAGGGGAGGGGCCTAGGGTATGAGTGTTAGGAGATGAGTGTGGAGAAAGCAAAGAAAGGCCCCTGGTCAAACGCAGTTGCTCTGTGCCACAAGGCTAATTAAAGTCACTACAATTGCACTCCCGTGCAATGCAAAGAACTTTGATCCAAGTCAATTGTCACAGACGCACATTACATCAACGTTATGTATCAGCAGTTCTCAAACCTGCTGGTGATTCAGAACTACAGTGATGGTTCTTAAAACTACCAGAAACTCCAATCTGGACAGTAGGAAGCCCAGATGGGGCCCCTGCAGGATTCCTGAAGCCCAGAGATGTCTGTACACTACTAATTTATATGTTATATAGATTTTTACTCAATCATTTATAAAATCAATCAAAATGTGCTGAGTTGTTCTGAAGTGCAACATTCTAGGGACAATAACACACACACACACACACACACACACACACACTCCAGCCAGCAAGGAGCCGGAGTCATGAGATTAACAGATATAAAGAGCTTAGAGCTATGTCTGGCACACAAGTAAATTCTATGTAAGTATTGCTAATATTATCGGTCACGTGCTGGTTTTAAAAAAGGGCCTTCACTTGTAGCCTTTGACCATTTCTGTGGTACAAATACTCCCACCTTGGCCAGTTTCCAGTTAGTGATGGTTACTGTACATTATAGACCTGCCTCTGGTCAACACACTTTTACTCGGTTTTGGACAACCGGAGTTTTTCACCCCCTGGGCAATACTGATTAAGACTTGGGCCTATGACTCCAATGGGGTCAGGTTCCTTCTTGAGACAAAGGAGCCCTTTCTAGAAGGGCTGCCAAGGGGGCTGTCCACAGCTGTGTTTCTTCCCTCCAGCAGGAGACACTTCTGTAACAGGAGAGAATGGGGTCAGCGTGCAACAAGAAGCAGAGGACATGGGGGCTGAGAAAAGCAGGGGACTCTGTGCCTTTGAATGCCCCATTCTAGTCCCAAGGCCTCAGTTCCTGAAGTTTTTCCTTCCATGATGCCGAATCTCCTGAGACGCCTGCACGGCACAGGACCTCCACTGCCAGCCTCCTTCATCTCCTGGCTCAGCTGCCAGACTCCCTGACGGTGTCACCTGAGGAACAGTGTGCACTCCACGGTGGCTGCAAATAGGTGTCCTGCTGGCTATACGCAGAGTCCGAAGTATGTTTGGTTCCTAACTCAAGATGCCAGACAAAATTATGAAATACCTGGCTAAATTTGATTTTCAGATAAACAACAAATACTTTTTCAACATAAGCACATCCCGTGCCATATTTGGGACATATATATACTAAAAATGTTTTTGTTATTTGAAATTCAAATTTAACTGGGCATCCTGTATCTTTCTTTGCCAAAATACTGCTGTTTGAACATGAGCTAACATTTAAAAATTGAAAGACTTCTTATACAAGTTTAGGTTTCTAATTTTTCTTAAAAGAATTAAGTCTGGCAAGACTGAGGCATCACTCATGGCAAAGTCGGGCAGGAGTGGAGCATGGCTGTGCCTGCAAAAGAGGCACATGTTCTCCCAGCTGCCACCAACCCCTCTCCCACTCTCGAACTTAGGTTAACTGCCTGGCTCCATATACTTCTCAGTCTGCAACCACAGGAGAGCACAGGTGTCTCTTCTAGGTCACCCGCGCCCTCCCTGAGCACCAGGGGAGGGGACACGCCCAGCTCCATATCTGCACAACACTCTGCCCTTGCTTTACTCACCCCAGCCTCTCCTCTGAGGTTGCAGGACACAAAAAGCATGGCAGCGGGGTCAGTAACCAACAAGCCACATTGCTTTCTGGTTGACCCTGGATAAACCCCTTGTCCTTTCTGAGCCTTGCTTTTCCTCACCACCAAACAGCAACTGTGATGATAATAACATCTAATCACAGGGCTGAGGTATGAATCAACTCTGTTCTAAGCAGAATGCTTTTAGAATAGTGGCTCTAAGTGCCACATTCAGTTATTAAAATACCTATTATCTATGTATTCATCCTACAATTATTTATCAGGCCCGCTATTTGCCGGGCACACAGAACACACAATAAATGGCCAGACACGATCCTGTCAAGGAGTCCCGGCTCCAGGGTCTGGGATACTACAAGAAGTAAACAGAAATATGTAACACATTTTCCGTTTACTGTACCGTGTGTAAGGATTGTGAGAAATTAAGGGTTTTATGGAAAACTGGAGGTGGGGTAGAGGAGGAAGGGTAAAGTTTAGGGGGCTAAGAAAGGCCGCACAAAGGCCTCGCTGTTTAAGACGAGAACTGACATATGAGAAGTCAGTGTGAGGAAGGGAGGAGGGCCCAAGGCACAGGTAACAAAGAGTCAGCTGCAAGGTCCAGGCGGTACAGCCCTCATCACAGGGGACCCGAACTAACATTTCAGCAACTCAGTCCAATCCACGGCCATCTGAAGGCCTGTGTGTTGTCTCTGTGTCCCCAACTCTATTAAGGTGCTCAGGACACTGCAGGTACTTAAAAGATTTATAAACCAAATCGGATCCAAAGCACAACAGGTTACTGTTTTCAACTTTTACACAGCACACATATTGAGGCTTGTACTCAAGAATTCTTGTCTTCAAGGATCTTGTATTCTGAAATCTTATGCTTACACATGCTTAAATTTGGCTCTGATATGACAGTGGTTTTTAACAATATTTCTTCGAAATGAAGGTGACTAGAGGAGATGCAGAAAACGTGAGCCAGGAGGGGATTTTAAAGACACAGAGGGGGGAAAAACAAAAAGAATCAAAGACCTAGAGGAAGCAGTGGCCAGAGGATCAAGAAGAAAAGCCTTCTTAACTCTCAGTACACCTGAGGAAACACTTGTACAACAGGAAAGCAGAAAAGTACATGAGCAGGGACAGTACACTCATTTTCTTAGCTTCTCTGCATAGCAAATGAGTGATTCCGACACTTTTTTGATCTCTGATTGGGCACCTCAACTGCTGAGGGGAGCACTGCCCTCACCATAATGAGCCTGGGGCTGTCTGCACCCAGGGCCTTAGAGCAACGCTTGTAAACACAAGGCTTCAAAATGTTTGGGGTGGCAACCATGCAAAACAAACAAACAGAGTACTTGCATCAGCCAAACATTGCTCTAAGCATTATACATACTGCACCAGCCAAACACTGCTCTAAGCATTATACATACTGCACCAGCCAAACACTGCTCTAAGCATTATACATACTGCACCAGCCAAACACTGCTCTAAGCATTATACATACTGCACCAGCCAAACACTGCTCTAAGCATTATACATACATCTATTACCTGTCTAATCCTTGTAACAACCTTTTGAAGTAAATCCAATTATTAGCCCCACTTTACAAGTGGGAAAACTGAGAACAGAGAAGGGTTAAGTGATTTGCCCAAGGTCATAGCACTAGTAACCGAGGGGGGGGCTGGTGCCATAAGCGAGGCAGACTGGCTGTGGCCTCCTCACTTTGACCACTGTGCTCATAATCACTCTTTTCTGTTTGGATGCATAGATCTTTGACAAGGAAAAAATTTAAATCTGCTATTTTTTCACAATGTTTGCTTGTGAAACCAAAGGAATGAGGGGAGGAGGAGAACAATTCACTTGAGGGTACAGGTGTGGCATCGTACACACTCCATTTTCCCCTCCTTCCAAAGCACAGGAGAGACCCAAACTTTGTCGGCTGTTGTTAGGATTAAACTTATTCAAGGTGCATGGAGAAAACGGTATTTTCTTCTTTTGGTAAAAGGCAAAACTAGGGCTAAGATATCTTAAATGGCTTTTTGGCTAGTGTTCCTTCCAATACAGTTCACAATCTTTCCCTGCCTTAGCTGTTTAAAAATTGACAGGTGGTCACATGGACAAGCAAGAGGAAAAATGCTGCCAAGGAAAACACAGGCCCTTAACCTGGTGGCTGTGGAGGAGCACTGCTTGCCCCGAAAGACTTGCAGAGAAGTTCCAAGGCCTGGGATCCGCAATGGACAGCTCTAGCTCCGCCCTTCCTGTGCCTTAAGAACCACTTCCCCGGCATGATCTTGAATATCTTGTCCTTCCTCCTGCCCTTTTCTTGAGTAACCCACTCTCAAACTTGACATTCTGGTCGGTCTCAATAAGTCCGTGTCCAACGCACGGGACGGGAACCGAAGATGCACACTGTCTGCCCACCTCGCCGTGGGAGGCCGACTTCTGCGCAAAGACTGCAGGCCCCGGCAGTGCTCGCTGCCGCCTAAGCCGGGAGGAAACTCCAACCCGAGCCGGTAGGAGAGCAAACGGCGCGCCCCGGACATCCCGCGCCACTCACCAGGGCGCTCTCGGGCAGGTTGTAGCGACACAGAGTGTGGTCCAGGTCGAAGCCGACCACGTCGCAGGCGGCCAGGGAGAAGTGCTGAGCCATGGTTGTGCTGGGAGCCACGGCGAGCGCCTACGGGAAGGGAGAGTGCGAAGAGCGCACCGGCGGGACCTGTGGGGACCGGACCGGACCCGGCGGGGAGGGCGGGGTGGGGCGGGGCTGCGCCCGCCCCCTGGAGGTGGCGTGGCAGCCTTTCGCACTTCCCGCGCCCCGGAGCACCGCCCCTGGGCTCGCTTCTCCCCGCCCTTCACGTGTCACGCTTTCCCACTTCTGTGCCGGGTCAGTTTGCGGTCATGGTCATTCACCTGGTTGATTCTGCTAGTGGTCTCCTGACCCCGGGATTCCCCAAAGCGGGATGCGACCTGGAGCTGAGCCACTACTTGGGGGAACTGAGGGCGCGGCTGAGCCCTGTTGGCTCGTAGCTGTTGCCGCGAAATTAACCAGGGCTTCGCTTCGTTTTGAAGGCGCCCGGGAAACGAGAAAATTGTAAAGTTAGACCTGACCCTGTAATGTAAGACTGTGGTGACACTTTTATCTATTATTGTTCCTCTGACCATTCGAGCCTAGGATTTGGAAGATTTTTCTCGCTCACGAGACTATGTGTTGAATCAAAAACTTTATATTCCATAGTAAATTTGTAAGTATATTCCTAAGTAGTAAAAGGAACACCTTTCACATTTCACTCCCTGGAGCGCCTTAGAACATGACATTGATTAAGGAAACCAATATTGGTGTTTTTATTTGATTATCCTATTCTTTATTGTAATGAAGAATATTTTTATGAAAGGAAACCAGAAACTTCATGGGATATACTGCGGCAGAGAGAACTTTATGCAAATAGAAGGTTTTAAGGTTTTAAAGATTTGAGCGACAATTTTCTCCATTCTCTAGGACTGTGTGTAACTAGTATCATTTTATATGCACAGGAGAAAAGTCAATCCATTACATGCGATGAATGCTTGGGGCATTTAATTCTCTCTGAAAACCTCTGAGTATGAAGGGCTAGGACTTAAAATCATTTAAAAGAGAAAATACAATCTCCCTACTAAAGAAAACATAAATCTATTATTGTGTTGCTTCTGTTTTAAATTTAAAGGAACTCTTTGTCCAATGGAAAAAATGAATAGTCATGATATAATAAAAATGTAATTGGTTAGAATTATGTTTAACTCTTGGAAATACTAGCCCTTGTGAGGCTCATAGACCAATCAAGGGATTAATTTGGTGCAATAAATAGTTCAATCTGGTAGGACACATGATATCTAGTGGGCCTATTGGAATAAATTGATAACTTGTTCCATTATAACTCTTAAAAGCCCCAAACAAATCTCTTTGGAGCAGGAATAGGAAAGAATCCTCAAGAAGATCCAGCTGTTCACTCATAAGAGCCCAACAACCATGTCTTTAATGTTTGTGAATAAAAATAGAAAAGGCTACATTATTTCTAGCTGGTTCCGATTTCCTATTCATGAATCTGTTAGCCATGGCATTGACCTTAGCACTCCTCTGGGCTCTCTGCGGTAGAGTGCCTGCCAAGGTCAAATTTCCAGGTAGACTTCACATTGAAGGCCCTGAGCCTCCTTGAGGATATCTTATTTTATGATCGAAGTAGGCATGTTAGGGATTTCACTTAGTAATGTAAATGTACAATTGCTTTCACTGTGAGAGGGAAGCGTGCAAAGGATTGTTTTTGATGACTTAAGCGGTCCTGGGATTGGACTTGGCTGACGGACCTGGATGCGGTCACGGACAGTTATGCCTACTTGCCATGTAACAACTGTGATATTTCTTATTCCTCATATCCAGAGAACTCTTGCGCTAGAGTCAATGACATTCACACTTTGTGGGACAATTTAGCAAATAATCAAATGTCATCATCCTGAAATATCTTACTCCTCCTTGAGCTCCACTCACCTTTCCTGGTCAGTAAGTACCTCAAATCTCCATCTAACCCCCCTAAGAACACGTGAGATGGCTACCCTCCCTTCCCCTAGTCCCTACATAACCCTGGATTTAATCACAAACATTCACTTTCTGTCATAAGGCTGTTTTCAACTAAAGATATTTCCTTTTTTCCTCTGTACTTTATCACATTTACTGATAAAGTACCACAGCTCTCCCATTATTGACCAGAAGTTCATTGTTCTGCTCGGATGCCAATTAATTTCTGTTTCTTTGAGTGATATATTACATACTGGAACTTGTACAACTTAACCCCCAAAAAACAAAACAAAACAAAAATAAAACCCCTAAACAATCCAATTAAAAAATGGACAGAAGACCTGAACAGACATTTTCCCAAAGAGGACAGACAGATGGTCAATAGGCGCATGAGAAGATGCTCAACACCGCTAATCAGAGAGATGCAAATTAAAAACCACGATGAGACACCACCACACCTGTCATAATGGCCATCATGGATGAATCAACAAACAACCAGTGCTGGTGAGGATGTGGAGAAAATGAACCCTTGTGCACTGTTGGCGGGGATATAAATTGGTGCAGCCATTACAGAAAACAGTATGGAGATTACTCACAAAATTAAAAATAGAGATGCCATACACCCAGCAATTCCACTTCTGGGTATTTATCCAAAGAAAACAAGTACACTAATTTGAAAAGTATATGCGCTCTTGTGTTCCTTGTAGCATTACTTAACAATAGCCAACACGTTTATTGGTAGATGAGTGGCTAAAGATGTGGTCTATATATCTATGTCTACTGCACGAACTCACTTATATGTGGAATCTAAAAAACAAAACTGACGAATAAATGAAAAAACAGAACAGACCCTCAGATACAGAGAACAAGCTGATGGTTGGCAAAGGTGGGAGGTTGGAGAAATGTTGAGAGGGATGGAGCCATGTGTTCCCCCCAATCCATATGTTGAAGGCCTAAGCCCCCCATGTGTCCATATTTGGTCTCCCATCCAAGTACTAACCAGGCCCGACCCTGCTTAGCTTCTGAGATCATATGAGATAGGGTGGTGTGGCTGTAGACCCCACGTGTCTATTTGGAAAGAGGGAGTTTCAGGAGGTAAGTATGGTTAACTAAGGCGGTAAGAGTGGGGCGCTAATTTTATAAAGCCAGAAGAGACCGGAAGAGGAAGAGACCGCGGACAGACCCATGTGCACAGGAAAGGCCGTGTGAGGCTGCAGGGAGAAGGTGCGGTCCGTGAGCCCAGGAGAGAGTTTTAGCAGACACCAATTTTCACGACACCATGATCATGCACTTCTAAACTCCAGAAGGGGGAGAAAATAATGTTCTGTTGTTGAAGCCACCCAGTTTGTGGTATTTGTTAAGGCGGTCTGAGCAGACCAATATGGTCAGTAAAAAGATTTGACCCTGGTCAGTGTTGTTGTAACAAATGTAGCAGATAATACTTGCCCTTTGACAGCTCCCCAAATGACAGAAACTTTGGACTAAGTTATTTGCTGGTATTTTAGTATTTTGGTACTTTTACTTATATGTAATATTAATGTCATGCTGCTAGTTTTAGGATTTTTTCCATATACTGTTTTTTCTTATAGTTAGAAAGTCATGAAATAATTTAGAAATGCTCAGAAATAAGAAGTAATGATGTTTACTGCTGATTTTCTAGAATTGAATTTTATTCTTAAAACTGACCTATATTTTAATAAATATAATACTATAATTTAGCAACTTTAGCTTTAGGTATACCTTTTACCTAATTTGTTATTTACCTAAATAATAATTTTATGAACAGCAAGCTTACATTTTTGACTGTAAAATAACTCAGCAATATCCAAAATTTATAAGAACTTAGAAAACTCTACACCAAAAAACTCAAAAACCAAAACCCTCTTCAAACAACCCAATTAAAAAAATGGCCAAAGGACCTGAATGGACACCTCCCCAAAGAGGACATACAGAGGGCCAATAGACACTTGAAAGGATGCTCAATGTCACTAATCATCAGAGAAATGCAAATTAAAGCCACAATGAGATATCACCTCACAACTGTCAGAATGGCCGTCATTGATAAATCAACAAACAAGAAGTGCTGGCAAGGGTGTGGAGAAGGGGACCCTTGTGCACTGTTGGTGGGAATGCAGGCTGGGGTAGCCACTGTGGAGAGCAGTATGGAATTTCCTCAAAAAATGAAAAATGTATCTCTCTTTTACCCAGCATTCTCACTTCTGGGAATATAACCAAAGGAACCCAAAACACTAATTCTGGAGAACAGAAACACCCTTATGTTCATTGTAGGCCTGTTTATAATCACCAAGATTAGAAGCAGCCCAAGTGTCCATCAGTAAATGAGTAGATGAAACAACTATGGGACATTTACACAGCGGGATACTACTCAGCTATAAAAAGGAAGAAATTTTTATCCTTTGTGACACTATAGATGGACCTGGAGAACATTATGCTAAGTGAAATAAGCCAGTTAGAGAAGGACAAATACTATGTGATTTCACTAATATGTGGAATCTAATGAATAAGCTGAACTATCAAGGAAAATGGGCACGGGCTCACGGATGGACAGCAGGATGACAGCCAAGTGGGGGAGGGGTTAGGGAGTGGAAGGATGGAGCAAAAAGGAAAAAGGACTCACGGACATGGGCAATAGTATGGTGACTGCTGGGGGGAAGGCAGTGTAAGGCCACTAAATGGTAATGGAAAAAAATACAATAAATAAATTAAAAAACAAAATAACTCAGTAAATGTTCTTTTGTGGATTTATAATATTGCATGTTAACACTTATATTGTAAATGTTATTTACTAAATTGTTATTTTGGGGTTGGGGAAAATGGCCTGATTATTTTTCAGTAGATTAAAATCTGCTTTTTCTAGATTGCAATGTTCAATCTTTTATATCATATCAGCCAATATACACATCTTCTCTGGATTATATAATTTGTTTAAGAAGGTACAATAAACTTTATTCAAAAATATGAAAAAGATGACATATACAAATGCCTAAAAATTAATCTCTACATCATTTAAATATTAAATACTAGCCATTTACCTAAATTGAACCAAAAGCTAACTTGTAATACTCAGCTGTGGCCTTAAGATGGCAGTAGTTCTGCATTAGGAATATGTTTTTATTTGATTTCTCCAGTAATCTTAAAATCCTCAAATTTCAAAACTAAAAATCACATTATTTTCTT